AGATAGATGTAGAAACAGAGAGGGCGCAGGAGAGCGCAAGCGCGCTCCGTGTGCACTGTACACACGCTCGTAATCCACAGCGTGACTATTAGTCGTAAGTCAATAATAAAGCCCTTGTCCTGGACCGACCATAATGGCCCCGGTGAATTATTCTGTCCAGGACGCATTGTCCCGCCGGATCGTCCGCGGGGATGGAATTGTCCGCGGCGTCGCCACATCGCCGATATACGGCTCTGTGTACACACGCGTAAGATCTCGAAACGGGAACGCGTGGGTCTACGACGGCATTCACGTAGAGGCGCCCGTGCACGGTAATTGAGATGGATGTTCAATTAATTTGGCCCAGGTTTCATTTGCACACCGCTACCTACGAGAATACGGTCTCGGGGGGGGGGGGGGGCGCACACTTGGCATCGTTTTCTAGCATCGCGGAGACGGAACATCTAAGATCGACATTGTTGCGAAGGCGGAAAAGACACATAAACATCATCTTGAATAATAAATGATTCTAAAAACCTCACGTACCATACATATACAGGGTGTTCGCGATAATTTGTACCATCGTTTTTTTTTCGGAAATGGTTAACATTAGAAAAAAACCGAAGAGAAGGAAGTTGTAGTATATTTTACTGGTAATATGATAGCGTATCTAAAGTTTATGTATTTTTAATATTTTTCGAGAAACGAAGGTGACCTTAATTTTGTTAAATGGAATGCTACATATTTTTTTACATCATATGAAAGCGGTCATACCCGGGCAGAAATAAAAGAAATATATTTAATATTTCGTAATATTGTATTTACTAGTATGTTGTATTAATAAAACTACACCTCGTGTTCAATGAGACTTCCAGTAGTAAGAATGCATTTCTAAGAATTTATTTCTACCCTTGTATGACCCTGAAGACCATAGTACAATACATGGTTGAACTCGTCTTAATGCCCGCTTTCATATGATGTAAAAAAATATGTAGCATTCCATTAAAAAAAATTATGGTCACCTTTGTTTCTAGAAAAATAATAAAAATACAAAAACTGTATATACCCTATCATATTACTAGTAAAATATACTACAACTTCCTCTTCGTCGGTTCTTTTCTAATGTTTACCGTTTACGAAAAAAACGATGGTACAAATCATCGCAAACACCCTGCATACGGGTGCACCTTTTCTCGTATCGCTTTTCCAAGAACAGCGATTAGATGGAAACCTACCGTTCACGTAAACAAGGGGAGAAATTCAGTTTCCCGTGTTCGCCGTGAACAAAAAAAGTGTGGGGCAGAAAAATTCGACTTGTCAAATTCTCGAAGTGTTTCGACGAATTTTAGCTAGACTGGAAGTGAATACAGTAGGAACGGAAATTCACCGCGGACGAGGTGAAGCGAAACCAACTTTACGTCGACTAAGCATCGGCCGAATCTTCGATAAATTCGTAATATCGCGGGCTGTCAGGGCCATTCATCCTCGCGAACCCGCGTTACGTAAGAATAGACACGTATACACGTTCCAAGTTGTTTCACGCTGGTACGAAGTTTATTTCCGCGAGAGCCGACTGGAAGAGAGACAGAGAGATGGATAGGAAAGTGACGGCCCGAGTCGAAGGGAAATTTCTTTGAATCTGCAATTTGTTCGAGACTTTTTCCTACGTCTTTTTGGTATGTCATTACGCAGACAGATCGGTGCAGCTTACTGGAGATTCGGCAATTTACCGAGCACAATACGCGAGCTTACAATTTTGGGACAATTTTCGGAATCGAATTACGAGTGACCTGACGATTGCTTTCCGGTTGTAATCGAGTCTAACACGATGACTTCTTACCAGACTTCTATATTATATGGGGTGTTCTAAAAGGATGGGAAAATCAGCAACATGCATATTCCTCATGCAAAAACAAATCGAAACTACCTTTACTATAATATTACAAGCAATTGAACGAACTCATAGTCATACAGTTTAATATATTACTTTTATATAATTTCTTTTATATGAAAAAAAATTCTGTGCAACTAGGGTTTTTATTTTCTTTAAAATCGTGTGCCTCAAAGAGTTCATTCATTTGTGCGTTTACCTTATATAATCTACATAGAAGTCTGTGCTTCTTACCCATCACAGAGAAATCATCTGATTCGTACAGCAAGTTAATGCATACTTCATGATACTTGTTCTTCCAGCTATCAAAATGATATTCATTTCAAAGAAGTGGAAATAATAAAAAAAAAATCGTCGCTAAAATCGTTCCCGCGATAGCCGTTACATTCTCTGTCCACAGTGTACCGAACGATATATGGTCGTGAAGCGACCCACGGTCCTCGGCCACGTTAATTTTCGACTGACCTATAATCAATCTAACGCGGTCTGTTTGCGCGTCATATTGGGATGCTTCTCCACACATCGCCAGGACGGGTCGCGTATGCCGCGGTCCGCGTATTTGCGGACTCCGGTTGCAAAGGTATCCCCTGACCGAAGATTATCGATGAATCGGAATTGCAACCGGGCTGGATTACATTTGCCGCCTCGATGTGAAATTCAACGCGCTGATGAAACCCGGGACCCACCCTTTTATCGCGGTTTGGGTACTGAACTTCAATACGGTACCGGACATTAACGTACCCAACTACGTAAACCGGTGACCGGGTGTCGTCGGTATTTAATCCAACGACACTTCGGAGTCGAGTAATATTATGGAAAGTTCTGTTATATACTTCCGAAACAATTTATACGATCCTTCCACGCGATTACCATAGTCAGATGATATTCGAGTCAGCGGAGCGTCATGAGGTCTGCGGTTTACGAGGTTCGTAAACCGCTGTAGACAGATCAGAAAAAAAGAAAGAAAGTGGAAAGAACTTCGGGGAAACGTGGAACTGGTTAAAGATGAAGCATTTCCGGTCTCGGGAATCGGTCGCCGCCGGTCTTTAAAATATTCACCAGGGGTTCTGCGTTCGACGGCCGGTCGGCGAAAGGACGGAGAGAGAGTCGTCCCCTAGGACACAGGCACATATTCTGTGCCGGAGTTTTCCTCTGTCGGGTCGCGCCTGGTCCTGGCCATCGATTTCGAACTTCAGACCGATCCAGAAACGTTTTCGACAGACAGCATACACCCGAGTCTCGACGCGATGCGCGCGGGACCACGCGGGAAGGGACAAAAAGAAAAGAAAAAAAAATTCCGAGGAGAAAAAGGGAGAAGCTGGCATTGTGACTTTCGATGACAATCGTCGCTGGGCCCGGCTCGGCGCGCGGACATTGGATCGAATCAATCGATTGGTTTCTATGGGTTCTTCTAAACACAGTCGAACGATGGGGAACGGGGTTGCGTCAAAGGGGGCTAGAGGACGGGGGAGTGGGTGGAATGAAGGGCTAGTCCCTGGAGAGGACTACTGGCTGCCAGAGCGCTGAACAGAGAAACGAGTGTGGGAAAGAGAGGAATGGAGGATAAAGAGGACCGCGAGATAGGGAAAACCGAGTAGCTCGGGGCTCATTTGAATCCGACGCTCGATAATGTCCCCGGAGAGCACCGAAATATATCCGTGCGCGTACACTGTACGCCTAGCGATATTGTAACACACTCCGTCGCGTCACCGATGACATTTTCCATGGCGACGTCGTTCATCAATGCCATGGAATGAAATTCGTGGCGGTATGGGACAGAAAAGATGCCTCGATGACCGACGAAGGAGCTTGAAAGACGCGAAATGCTGATCGATTTGTGGCGTCTGATGGGTGTACACCCGGTGTTTCTCTTATATTTAGACCCGGTGGATCGACGGGCTTTGGGGGAACTGACGGTAACGAAAAGCAAACGATGATTTAAAGGGTTTGGTTGAATAGTCTATGAGTTGTTTTGTTTTTACCCAGTGTTCCAAGATTCAGTGGGATTTACTATACCACGGAACAGATTACGTAGACTGTAGATACTTAACTGTCAGAAAGGCAGAACACGTAAGTGTTCAACCTTAGAGAAATACAGTAAATCATCGATTGAGTGTTTGAAAGTTTCTCGGCATTGACGAGGGTCCCCAGGTGTAACGCTGACTTTTTAATAAGGTTTAGTAGAGTGATAAAGCTTGGAATTGTGAAGCCAATATTTGTTCTATCCGCATATGGCCATTAGTTTAGGAAATATTTAATGTTCACTGCCGAGGAGCCTTCCATAATTATAATTTTTGATACAAGACGTTTCTGAACTGTATTGTCAATAAATCGCGCACGCACTTTTAGGGGATACATCACAAATAGAATGTGCAACTCTGCTAAAAAAGTGGAATACACTCTGGTTTTCTTTTCTAATTTTTGACATTCCTTTAGGCATTTACTGGCTTATTTCTATTACTTCATCATGCAGTTATGAATATTTTATCTGCATTATCGAAAGCTCTTAAATAACCGAATAAGAAAGGCGATAGCCGGGGGACAGGAAAATTTTAAATACTCTCGAGGAGGGATCGAGCACTTAAATTCCGAAATAATCACGACGATCAAGGTTCAATTCTATTTCCTCGAGCGGAGGAGAAGTCGTGGGGGATGGGCAAGAAGCAACATTCGCCCGAGGAGGCGAGGGGCTCGGTAGAGTGCTGGATTTTCCTGTCAGGAGGTGGAGTTTAGAGGTCGGGAAATTAGTTTAGTTATGCGCCCGGCAGGGACGTCTTCTCGCGTCTCTAGGATGAACGTAAGTCGCGACGACGGAGGCACGTAGACGTTTCAACGTTCCGACTTTATGTCCCTCTCTCCTCTTTAACTTCCACGGGGATTTCTCTCTTTTTCTATTTATTCACCATTTTCCGTGCCTCCTCAATGATTCTGAAAAGGGCGCCGAAGGGCCAGGAAAAAACGATTCTACGACGAGTGAGAGGGAAAATGGTCTGACGTTTACGGAGAATTTTCCCTGGAGAGATCGAAGTAACCGACGATCACGATAAAAAAAAAAAATTGCCGTTCGTGAATTATGAAGGACACTTCGTGTCGGGCGAACGGGCAGTCGCAGGAATCTTTTAACGCTTACCTGGGAGTCTTCCTCGGTAAATATCGCGTCGAAGGCAAACATTTTCGGCGCAGCGACGGTCGGCCTTCGATCCTCCGCAGAGGAGGACTGTCCAGACGTTGGGTCAACCAGCGTCACCTGCTTCTTCCTCTTGTCCGCGTTGAAGAAGCTCCCTCCTTCTCCCGGCGACACTTTCAACATAACTTTCACCTGAAAAATAAAGAAACTTTCTTTAAATACGTGTTCAACCGTTATTCCAATAAATGCTGTTAAAATAATTCAATGGAAATTTGTGAGCGGATTGACAGTGCCAAGGGTCAAATTATCGGTTTGTTTAACAATACAAGCAAGAATAGAGCCGGTGTTCACGAACGTTTGGCGATTCCGCTGGAGTAGTTTAACGTTACGTAACGAATGAGATCTTATGTGACGGTAGGTGTTCACGAACGTTTGGCGATTCCGCTGGAGTAGTTTAACGTTACGTAACGAATGAGATCTTCTCTTAGTCGAACAATAGCCTCATCAGGATTATCCGATGGACAGTTTCGTCCGGGAAATGAACGCCGGTTCTAAAATTACAACGGCCCACATTAGCCCATACGGTCCAATGAACTTTTGGCGATGCTCCTTGCATCGAAATCGAGGAAAATGTTAGCGGAAAATTAACGTCTATGACAATTCTGATTTCTGGTATCATTTCTGACATATTGGGTTGAATCTAGACATTCCATTTTTCGTTTCAAGCTCTCGCAATGAGAAAGATTTTATTAAAAACAGCATCGATCACCTGTCACTCGGTCGCACACACTGAAACGCCACCAAATATAGAACAAGCAATCAGCAAAATATCGAGTCGACTAATTTTTCCACAACGTCGAGATAGGAAACGTGAATGAAGTTGCGGGAAGTTTCACCTCGCCATGCACACAACGAACTCAAAATTGAAGAATCACGAGGACGGAGGGTGGGCGGCCTCCAAGGGGGCAGACTTCGTCTCGACGACGTCATAAGATATCTCGTTTATAGCCCTTAGAAAAGTATACCTGCCAACCCCCGACGATGATTTATAACAACGTTTTCCGCGCGGCCTGACTCCGCCCGAAGAAAGTCGAATCGAATCTCCAAGCGCGAAAATAGGAAGAGAAACAATGAGCTCCCGTGGGGGAGACGGGGTTGCATCGATGCGTCGTCGTTAAAACTGCATTCGTTGCCTCGGAGATCGATGCTCCCGTCGGCGATGTATTCTGCGAGGCGAGGCGAGCCGAAGCGTCGGGACGCCGCCGCCGTCCGTTCGACCGGCTGTCCAGGAAATTGCGTTTCGAGATTTCGTTCAGATTGCGGCGCACGTTCTATCTTTTGCATACGGAACGGCCCAATCCGGGGCCCGCGGCTGCGAAAAAGGGACGCTCCTATTTTCCCTGTTCGACCTCCCCCCCTCTACCACCACGACTGCCACGCCACCCATCTAGATGCAGCTTTCTTTCCCATGGACGCGGGGTACCTTGCACACGTAGTGGTAGTTCGCTGTGAAAAGACCGAGTGCCAGCGATCGAGCGACCGGAAATAAAATAGCTCCTTTCCAGTCTTATTGGGAAAATTCTGCATATCGAACGGCTCCTTCGGCCTTTCTTCCCAGTCCTTTTTTCTTTTTTTTTTGCTCCCCTAGGTACACCGTCTAGCCTGTGTACCCCCCCTGCGAACCGTTCTGCCTCTTTTCCGGACTGTCTCGCTCCATTCAACGTTCATATATCTGGTAACGAGGCTGATTTCGGGGCTGGGTATCTGTTCCGCACGAACGATTCCACGAACCGTGTCCTCGAACCTTCTACGTGGATATTTCTCTGCCCGTTCCCACCCCCCTTTTGTCTGTTCGGTTCGACGTGGCCCGAACCGATCGAGAATGTTGGCTTTCGTTCGTCTGAATCTAGCTACGAACGATAAAATGCAGGGCGACTCTATTCGAATGACAAGGGTACTTCGGTACCTCGAACATTCTGATTTGTTTTGAATTGCGCAGGTTTGTTGGGGACCTCGATAGAAGTATCGGACAGTTTTCCGTTTCTGCTGATATTCGGTTCTTTGGGGTACAACTACCCCTTAAAGATTCACGTATGTCTTCATACTTTCCTTTCGTATATCTCGAAGACTATAGCAGATACCAAAAAACTGTTTCAGCGAAAATTGAATGGCTTCTTATGGTGTATAAAAGTGTGCAATGAAATTGTTATTAAATTTGTCAGTTTATTTACTCGTTTCTATAAAAAAAACAACATTCTAGAAATTTTCATTTGAATATATTTCCTGTACTTACTATAGTTTTCAAGATGTTCAAGAAAATATGAAAGCACACGTTAACCTTTAAGGGGTAGTTTTACTCTGAAGAACATAATATCAGCAAAAACGAAAAACTGCCCCATGCTTCTATCGAGGTCCCCAATAAATCTGAGGATTAAAAAGAAAAGTAAAATTTTCTGGGTAAGCGAAGCTTCTCGCCTGAAGTCACTCGATGCTCGCAGAGGTATTAAAGTCCCGATCACGTTCTGTACCGATTGATAGAGATTCTTCGCCAAAAATAAGCGTGCAATCTACACGCGTTGTCTCGAACTAATTGGGTCCACGAGATTACGTCAGAACGTCTCTGTGATTCCAACCGTAAAGGCTTCCAGTCTCGATCTGATTCTACAAAGGACGTTGTAGACGCAGGTTCAGCTGCCCGTAACTCATGCGATTTTCTCCATCATTTCTTCTTTCCACTTTACGCGCAATAAAGATGTCGTTACCATTGTTACTCGGTATTTTATCGCGAGGGGTGGAGGGGTGGTTCCGTTCGACCGGACGGCCGGAGGCGTTGATTCGACGCGGCAGTTTCTCGCTTTCAACAGAGGCCCTGCGCCTCGTGACACCGGAAACGGGGCCCCGAGCCCGGAAGCCAGCCGTTAATTTCTGAACGTCCAAACGTGAAATGAGTCGCGGCCGTACCTCATACACGGCCTTCCGTTGTCGTTCTCCGGACGGACGTTAAAGTGTAGAAATGTTTTATGACGCGACCGGGCATTATCCGCCAATTTACGATTCCCTCGGAATCCGGCCGTTTCATACCGCTCGACAATAGCCATCTATAGTTCGATATGAAATCTCGATCTTTCATCCGTCGAGAATATCTGTCCCGACAGAGAAATCGTATCTCCCATTCGAACTGAATATTCAATTTAAACGACGAACAACGATCGAACTGTAAACGAAACGATCACGAAAGAAATAAAAAGATCCTCTTTGTAAATAACGTTCACAGTGCTGTTCCGTTTTCTGAAGCTCGATGCTTGTTTCTCGATCACCGAAACAGACTGTGTTCGCAATTAATAACCGGACCATTTTGATGCTTCTCCGTGGTCGGGACGAGGCATCGAGAGAACAGGGATATTCAAGATCAGGCAGCTATCGAGACAAACAAAAACAGATCCGTTCCAGCCGATCGAACGGGAGGCGCAAATAACTAGAATTAATCGAAGCCGAGAGCGACGCGGAGACCTCCTGTAGGTATAGTTCCGATGTAAGAGACGGAAACAGCCCCGGGGGTATTCAACTTCGACGACGAATGCCATCAAAGCGATTGCGAGACACGAGCGCCCGCGCGCGGGCCGCTCTTTGCGCGAGGAGATTACTTCGACGAATGCGGATAATCTAAATAATCATCGTCTGCAGGGAAAATGTGACTCCTTCGTGGCAACCCCTTCGTTAAAACGGTAGTAACGTCATCCACGGATGCCTCCGGGGCGGCCCCGAAGTTGATCGACTTCGGGTATTAACCGCCCTCTGTCTTCTATCACACTATCCGGTGGGATTGATAAGGAACATCCTTGGGGCAGTTGCCTGCGCAGACTAGCACAGGGGTCGTCTGCATGCCACGGCGAAAGAAATATCTTTTATAGAGCCTTTAAGTGAGATGAAATACGATTTGGAACTAGTACGCGTATTTTGCGATAACTTTACTTGTGTTCGAATTATTGGAAACGTTGCATACTAACAGTTGCTTAATCTGAGATTGGTGGTGAAACGGATAAAGCTACATCATTTTATTTATATAGAGTGGAACTCGTTTATATGTACCTGTTAATAGGAGTATAGTAGGATTCGCCTTTGATTTTTCATTCGAGCCGGGCTCAGCTGGAGTTCACCTAATCAGGCACTAGACTAAAATTTCGTTCGTATAAATGGAGTTCCTATAAACAGAATTTCACTGTAATCCGCTTTTCACTAATATCTCTGCTTATACGGATCATACTTCAATCGTGTGATCCGTACACCAACTTTTGTAAATTTCAAGAGCCCCTTTTCCACGTTGCCTTCCATTATTTCACTATTATCACTCTAAATATACATCGCCTTCGATCATTTTTTATCGCTCACACGTACCGTTCGTCCTTTTATTATCTCTGAATTTACCATACTTTCATTACGTATTCATGAAATTTTATACATTCTATATTATTCGTCTATAAATTTCCACTCGGTGTTAGGTGATAATCCGAACCTCGCTCGTTTCGCGGTGTAATGTGCATTTTATACGGTGCGTCGAAGTCCTATCGTTATTATCATTACCATCGTTATTAGTATTGTTATATAAATTCCGTTCGGTGAAACGAAAACAACGAGATTCGTTTACACGGCAGTTAATATCCGATTCCGCGCCTATTAACAATTTCCAGACAGTCGTGGTATTGTTTAAAAATGGCCGTCGTTAACGTGCTCCGACTACCCCCGAATGTGCGCGTAATCGATTCTGGAGTGTAACGGGTTTCCCGGCGGTAACCAAATTCCCGGCAGTGGTGGTTTTTTTTTTTTTTTTCGATTGCGCGGTACTCGCGATAAAGGGCTGGGTCGCGTTTACATAAACTCGATAATCCTTTGGATTTTTCGGCAGTCAACGGTATTTCGGTGCAAAACCGGCACAGAATTGAATTTCGTCCGCGTAAACGTGCGATCGCCGGCGAGAGAACGATGACGAACGCGACACGGTTCGTTGGGACGCGGCGCGAAAAGAGATTGTGTTTCTCTTAATCCGTAGATTACACCAGCCGTCGCGCAGTCGGGAGCAGACTTTACAGAAGGTCAGAGGCGCGACGACACTACGAATAGTCTGATCCTTTAATTACACTTTTCGTTAGAAGCTGCAACTCGGTTCGTAGCCACGTGTGCCTCTACTCGGCCAG